CAGACCAAAAAGAAGTTCTTAGGCCAAAATGACTGGCATACCAGCATGAAATGTCTATCCAGAGGACTGCTGCCTAAAGCATTACGTAAATTGTTTCCAAGATTAACAGTAAATATTTTGCCCAGAATTGCTTCAAAGTCCTAAAATTGGGTTACTGTTATTATTATTATTATTATTAGTGAGGCTGGGTGCAGGCAGGCATGAGAAATGCATTTTACCGATGTCATCTTGCAGTCACAGCTAGGATGACAACATGCTATCACAAGGCCTGTACTGCTGGGATGGAATCTGTAACAGCAACGTTGTGCACTATTTTCATGTCTTTTATCACTGAATTATTTATTCTTCTTGTCAGTAAGTGATGGGTTTCCTGATATTTACAAGTCTATTTACAGCCTAAGGTGGGAGTCATAAGCTCTTCTTTCCTTACACAGCACACGGCAACTCATTTTGCTGCTGAGCTGTTTTCAACAAAAGGCATACAAAAAAAAGGCAGAATAAAAAGCCAGGCAACCAGACCTGAAAGCCACTGCCAATATACCATCTACAACAACCAGAATGGATCAATGAATGAGTATTCATGCCAGGCACTGGAACAGGGAAATAACATCAAATTTGAATTTTAAGCTTCATCAGAAAATCATTGGCTTCCTTTGCTCTTCCCTGTTCGGCACCACTGTTTATGTATGGCTGGATAAGTTTGGCACAAGTGGATTAAAGAGAATATACCCTTCCTGGTTCCTCCCATGACTGGCCAGTCAGTCCCAGGTTTCCTTGGTATCTCCTTTGGCTGTGAGACATGGTATCTTTGAAATGAAACTGTTGGTGCTGGAAGAGACACAAAGGCCAGTGGAGATGACTGTAGATATGGTAGCAGAGCTGAAGACTCTTTTGGCCATCACGATTCATCAGCAAATGATCCATTTCCACCAAATTATTCTGTTGGTCTTGGCTGAGGAGTCTGGCCACAGTCTGCATGTGGGACAATCTGATCCCTAACAACCTCTGAGTAACAAAAGAGGCTGATCTTCTACATCTCTCACAAAACCTTGCATCCTCTTCTTCTGGTGATCTAGTGATTTCAGCCCATGAATCTTGGATAGTGGTGATATTTCAACAGATTTAGAAATTCCTGGTAAGAAAGTCAAAAAGTGTATTACATTTTGAAAGCTAATAGGATTTTCCAACATTTTCTGTGTTACAGCTGAGTTGGAAATTAACACTTCTATGTCTAAATTTTTAAGTAAAGTTGTCAGACTAGAGTTTTGGGAGGTAAATCTAGCTGGCAGAGAGGTTTTGAGTGTCCTCTGCCTTACTTTCAAGTACACAGAGAATAGTGTATGAACTTAACAATGACTGAATATCTCGGTGTGTCTGGACAGGCAGATAATTCTTATCAACTAGATCCATTTTCACATTATATGGAAAGGAGGGGAAGATAGAGGGGAAAATGAAGTTTCATCGAGAAATTCAAATTACAGTGCAATACTGCTCATGGGAAATATGTCAGAACTGGTGTCTTCTCCTGCCCACTGACATGGTTGTTTCTTTGTTCTTTTTGGTACTGGACAAAGCATTCATTGCAATTACCTTAAAAATTGTATTTTGACATCTGTATGAAAAAAATTCTAAAATGAGCAGGCTTTCTAGATGTCCTCAGAAAATGTGTAATCTTTCACAGAATCCTGCAAATAATGTTTACAGACTCAGTTGGGAAGGACAGACAGTTCATTTAAATCTGTCCTGAGGTTCCATCTTGTGTTCTGGGTTGTCATTATGGGACTGTCTGTTTTTCCCAGGAGGGAAAAACGGGCTTTACAAATACATTTTCTGCTATTTAAAGCAAGACATACCTCCATGCAATAGACTGTCATAACCCATAATTCACTTATATCTAAAATAAGTCTCCCCAAGTTAATAAGGTACAGGTGGTACTTACCATAGTGAGAGTCCTGCTTTTCTCTTTCTTCAAGTTGCTTCTTTGCTCCATTTCAAAGTGTGCTTAAGACGCCTTTTAGATTGTTCAGACACGCAGACTTACTGTGGGTTTCATTTCAGCCCGATTCTGAGACTCTGTCATGACCTCTTCCTCAGTTGACCCCATCCCCCTAGTTTCAACCCTAAAAATCAGACTGCTGTCATGAAGGACAGAGCTTTCTGTCTGGAGAAGTTCATTAGAGAAGTCTATTAGAGAAGGACCTATACCAAGTGTATTGTTGGATCTGCAACACCATCCCTGACTTTTAGTAAAAACTTTTAGATAATTGTGCACTGAAGTACAGAATCTGAATTGTCTTGGGGATTGGTATTTGTGGTGCTCCTTCTACTAAACCATAATCCTAGGCATCATGCATGTCTATATTGTGCTCGTTTTCTCTGCTGTTGGCAGAGTTTAGTTTGCAAAATTCCAAATCAGACCTCTTGGACAGCAGAGGACTATAAAGGACAGCAAAGGCCCCCATAATGAATGGGGCAGAAAGGCTCTGGCAAATGGGCAGTACATACAAGAAGTATCTACAAGTACCCATAGATACAAGTATCTATGGAAGACAAAGGCAAGGGTAAAGGGTGGTGGTGGCAGGCTGTCCAAACTATCTTCAGTCCGTGCATGGGTAGAGCAGGAGAACAAGGCATGACACTATGAGCTCTGCTCTAAAGCACACCAAAGTCAGCCTGAGCTCAGACCATCTACCCTGGTTGTTCATGACCCTCCACCCCAACATGTTCTTTTTGAAGCAATGAAGAGAACAAGGCTTGGTCAACGTACACAGCAAGACGGTCAAACAAAAGTATCTCTAAGAATTCCCACATTGATTCCCTAATAAGCCATAAAAAGCAACAGGAAACTCCGCCCTTAACATGAACAGAAATCTTGGTACTCTGCATCAAGCCCCTAACTACAGTTTCTTCTCATCTTATGCTTTAGAATTTCAGTCAACCCCTGCAGAGGGAAGCAATGATAATTTTCTGGCTGAGCACAGACATTGTTGGCAAGGTTTTATTATTTTTTTCCTTTAAATGACATACCAGATGAGATAAGTAAGTAATTTGGAGCTGTACTACTTGTCTTCTTTGTTAGGTGTGCACATGGTAAGTCTCATAGAACTGGAACATACTATTACGCAAGATATTGGAGAAAACATTTTAAAATACGCATCTGACCAAATATTTTGGGCACGCTATTTCACTGTATTGTATTATTATTTTTATTTTTTGCTCAGTAAGCAGGCATTTTTATGAAGCTAAATGGCTGATAAGGTGCAGAAATACAGATTGTGTATTTAATGGTCCATTTGTTCTTTAAATCTTTGGAATGAGAAGCATGTAGCTCTGAAAGTGCTCTCTTTGAAATCAATAGGCTACTTGAGGCATTAAGTGCCACTCAACATGGGTAAATAGGACCACATGTCCTGTCATATATTTCAAAAGGAAATGTTTTAGTCGCAGATTTTAAACATATTAGGTATCCTAGAGGTAGCTCAAATTAGTAGAAAACATATCTGATGACTAAATTTAATAGCTGTTTAATTTACTAAATTATGTGACTATAAATTTTCTTTCTTGTATCAAATTATCACTACTAGTTCTAGCTGCATTATAATATACTCCTCATAAAGTTGATATATTTTTCATTTAGTTGCCTGGAACATACACTTGCAAAGAAATTACAGGTTAATTCAGATGATATAAAGCAATGTCATAGGAAGATATTTCCAACTAATTTTTGTTTTTACATCAGAAGCAATATCTCCTGTGACAATTCACTCATGTAGCAAAAATTGAATTTTTTTAAAACAAGTTGATGTACATTTGATAAGAATACCTACCTACACAATGACATGATGGGTGCAGCTAGTAATGTATAATTACTTGAAAGTGTTAAAGTATACTTGACGGAGTTCACATTTAGTTGTGACAAATCCTTTTTAAATATACTTTACTGGATATAAAAATACTTATAAAGTTTTTCTTATCCACTCAAGTATCACTCACTACAGCAGTTCCAGAGCTGAATGTAATTCTGACAGGCATTTACATCAGCAAAGCATTCAGTGAAAAACATGGCTAACCAAAAAAGCAAGTTAAAGGCCCTCTGGCCATGGGAGTGTAGAACTCTGTATGTATACATCACTTTCTTGCTCAGTGAGAGCCACACTAACTCAGTTAAAATCTGTGTCTTTTCTTGTTAGAATTTTATTTACCTTTCCACAACCTTACAAGTAGTTTTAGCCACGCATAGCAGCACTTTCTGAATAACTGGCTGAAGGACCCTTTTATCCTTTAGCTTAAAAGTGAAAATTATGCCATTCCTTATTTAATAAACATGCACTGACTGGCACATTAATGGATGAGTGTGTGAGGTGCATGTTTATAAAAATGGGATAATTTTTGTTGCCTTATCTTACTGACACAAATCAAAAAAAGATGTGAATGTAGCTTTTCCCTATGTTTCCACATCACAAGGACAAAAAAATAAATTTCCAAACTTATAAATTCTGAGAGTTGCTTAGAAAATAACTGGTCAGAACCAGATAGTTTCAGCCTTACTTCTGCCACGTAATTCCCTTCTATAGTTTACCTTGATGGTGGATGCCAACCAGAAACAGGTTACCATTGCAAATATTTTTTTAATTTCCTTCTGGTTTTTCCTAAAACATGGTATGAGATGTCCTTCAAAACTTATCACCAGTAAAAGATAAAAAAAAGGGCACAAACAAGTTCAGAATAACATCAAATAAGAAAAAGATGTAATCGCTTGCTACAAAAAAAAAATTACACTTAATTTGCACCAATTTTAAATGCACAGCTGCTCACATTTTTGCTTCATCTGAATCTCTGTATATAAACTCTGACTGTGATTATTACTTTTTGATAGCTTTCTAAAGTACTCCGAGATTTTGTAAAATTTAATATGGAAAATAAACCAGGAAATTTACATGAAAAACTAAGATTAAAAAAAGGGTACTTTGGAGAAATAATATAAAAGCACAAATGCCTACCTTTGTGTTTGGGTGGCATAACTGTTATCATATGCCTCATAGCTTGGATCATCATATTCACCCCCATATCCATCATCGTATCCCTAAGGGGAAAACAGAACACCAGAGCTTAGAAGAGTGATAACTCAAAGCACATGATTAAGCTGTAAAAATAAATTGCATCAACACGTGCGTGTCATGTTTGCCCACGACAATGTGAAACACTCAGCCGACTGAAGGGAATTGTGAAGAACCTGCACATTGCAAGAGTAAAGAAATCAGGCACTCATTTAAGAACTCAGCTTATTCACTGATAAAACTGTGGTGCGTTGTCCAAACCACAGTGCTTCAGTGGGATCTCTGTAGAATACCAATAAATAATAATAAAACCAACAATTTCCAAGCAGTTTGTTACATAAATGGTTCCATAAATACCTACAGGTGAAATAAACAAATGGCAGGTCAAACATGTTGACTGTTTTATACTATTAAGAATGGTGTTGTGATAAAATCTTTATATTCAGTCTATTAAAAACATGCAAAACAAGAAAACAAAACATAGCAACCTATGAAAAACAATATTTGTCAAGCAAGTAATGGCATATGACTTTTATAAATAATGCAGAGTAAGCCCCTTTACTTTCACTGAGCATCCTACTCTTTTTAAAGACATGCTTTTCTGTGACAAATTAACCAACACTTTAGTACAGGTTCCTCCCATCTAACTTAATGTTCTCACTGAAAAAATCAGACAGATACTCAGTTTGCCAGAGAGACACAAGTGACTTCAGAAGGTGGTTCAGCTCATCTATGATTTTCATATTTCTCTATGATTTTTGGGAGCCAGTATTTGTAATTAAATTGAAGAAGGGACAGCATGAGGCAGCTCCAAAATAACAGCAGCCCAATAAAAAAGCACTCTAGTACACGATCATAACCACCCAAAGCACAGTTCGTCTGGTACTTCATTATTTCTGCTAATTAAAGTCCCCAGCAGTATTGAACAGGACTTCACTGGCATTCCTAAATTCAAGAAAACATTCTATGGAGGGAGCATTCAGTTATGTTTCCTTAGGTCAAGTGTATTAAATTAGCCTGTTCCTCTGGGCTACCCAGCAGTGAGGGTAAGTGTGGATTCCAGGCAGGAGGTTTCATCCCTGGATGAACAGGGACAGGATTCTGCAGGGTCTTCACTGTGTCAGCTGTAGTAAGGCAAAACCTTTCTGGGCAGAAGGAGTATCCATTTTAGAACTGGGAACTGCCTCTCCCAGAATCTGAAGTCCACAGAAATCCCATCATCTTCCATTTTGGGTGGTAGTGCACCGTTTTGACTCGTCTGCATTAGTAGGAACTCACAGCAAAAAGTACAGCTGAAAACATATCCCTGCAGATGACAGTGATACATTTAACATTATACAGCTAAATACACAGTCTTGCTTCTGGGGACAGGATGAGAGAAACAATGCACCCCAGGAGAGAGATGTTAGTCACATTGATTAGTATGCTGCTGGGTGGGATCCTGCTACTGCCAAAATGAGCAAGATGGGAGTTCCTATATAAAGTCAAATAGCTACAGGACAGACCTTTCAGCCTGCTTACCCAGCCATCTGAGAGAACAGGAAAGGCAACACTTACAAATTAGCTCTCTCAGTTTCTTGATGCCTGAGGTGGATCAACGTTCAGCATCAGCAGGGCAGAGAACACTTGTTAATATTTGACACCTCTGTGGGTTCACGTTACATATTTTAACAGCCTCCCTCAAGGCTCTGAGCAGGTCAATACAGTGCAAATGGTGCAAGTGGAATGGTTGGAAAACAAAGTATAAAAGCACAACGTACCTTTAATAAACAAAAAGTATTTTTTGGATAATGTTTTGTTTGTGCCAATCTGTATGAAAATTATCTTCTAATCCTACAGGTGAAGTCTTTGTGTAAGTAACATACCTGCATTTATTGAAAGTTTAATACGTTGTACCATACCCAGACATCCATCACAACTTTAGGTATCTAGAACTGAGACCCAAAATAGCTCCTTTCACATCTTTGAAGTGTCTCAAACTCACTGAGCAGTTTTGTCCTCTTTAACCTTCAGATCCCCAGAACCTACAACTTTAATGTTTGAAAATACTTTCTTGGGCAGGCACTTTGAGAGATGAAGCACCCAGCTCCCACCTAGACCCTGCTGAGATCAGAAGCTGTGAGTCTGAGGGTGTCCAAATTCACATATTGTGCTCTGTGTGTGATGAGGATGGTGCTCCAAAAGCAGTTCTGTATAAATCTAGAAAACAAAACCCAGGATGCCCTCCCCAAATGCAGTGTAATATTTTGCTCAGCACTAGAGTCAGCACTTCATGTACTTTCTAGGTCTATTAGTGCTTCTATAAAAACCAACCAACCAACAAGCAAACTTTTCCTGTGTAGAAGACTTTCTGTCCCATAGTAACTGCACCACCATTCAGAAGAAAAAGCCTACTACAATGAACTGAGAAATAGGCAATGGGCAGCTATTAGAAATATTCAAAGTCAAACTGATAGCCATTTCTAGGCTAGGTTTTTATGCCAGGCTACCTTTATTTCAGGTATTTTTTAATAAAACAACTTTCTAAAACATAAAAAACCCCAACAAAACCTCTTTACTTTGTGTCAAGGGAAAGGTGCCTTCCGACAAACAAGGGTCTTCCAATGACTAAGATTTGCTCTGACCCTAGAATGATACACCTTGGATATGACATAAAAGAACAGAAATACACATTTGAAGCTGCAATGGCACTAAGAATGTTTATTAACAATTATGCATGATTTTAAGGAGTTTTGGAAAAATAGTAACAAATAAAGATGGTAAGTTAAAATTTAAAATACAGCTCAGTTTAAACTGATTTGTAAATGAGCTTATTTAATTATTTATCAGACTCTCCCCACAAAATGCAAGACTGGGAAAACTCTTAGGAGAATCTCAGAACAGCATCTGAAATTAGCATTTGCAAGACTCATTTCAGGAGGAAATACTCCCTACTCTACTACTGATAATGAAAATTATCGTCAGCGGAAAAAGGGGTGTAGAAGCAAAAAGGGGCTTAATTGAAAAAAGCTTATGGTCTACTACCTGAGAAAAAATTAAGTACCAATTTGATTAAACACTCAAGAGACTATTGAGAAGAATTTATTTTGCTTATTTAGATTTACTCAAATCCTCTTCTATTTTCAGATGCTGAAAAAATATCAGAAATACAAACAAGATTTTAAGTACCATTAGTTACAAGGGTATCATAATATAACACAGTCTGATCTCTTTAAACATGAATTTCCTTCTTAGTGTTAAGTCTCTGTTCCAAGCAATAACATCCTGTACTCAAATGCACCAAGTTTAAATCACCTCTTCCCTGAACAGCCTTAGAAAATACAATTTTCACAGCATGCTCTGAAAAATGGTAGGTTTCAACTCTGTGAAACCAAGAAGTTAAATAAATCTAATACTTCTAATGAAAACTGCCCTACTCAAAATATTTTATGTATGTCCTCATAATACATGATAAAATACACCATAAGAGAGTTGAAACAGATTTATTTTATATAGAAAATAGCCCAACTCTTTCTAAGGTAGAAAACTGCAAAATAGCTAGACTTTAAAAAAGAAAAAAAAAATCAAAACACAAACAGTAAGTCAAAATAAAGTGAGTTATGCAACTCAGTATTTTACTTGGCAATCATGTGAACATGAAAAATACCTGCAGTCAGAGAATGGGAATATCCCTTCTCATTAGCTGCATCCAACAGTACACAAAACTTAGTCCTGTACCTCAGAGAAGGTGAAGGTATAAATATCCACCTCAAGTTGTAACTCTTAAATAAAAGCAATTAAGGGGCCCTTGCACAGTTTTCAGTATTTTCTTCACCGTGCTTCTATGTTGTTATCTCACTCTTTTCTGCTGTGACTGGGCCACATCCATGCTTCCTCACACATCCACATCACCCTAGCATGGAAAGTTAAAGCCAGTTGTCTACCACTAAGCTTGCAGTAGATACCTGTAAGATTCACAGGGTAGAGATAAAATATTTTTAAAGGATAATTCCTACTATTTGACACATACTTGAAAACAACTTGAATTTCTCTTTAAATGAGAACTTTCTATCCAATTATATAAAGGGAGCCCAGGATGGATGTGTTAAATTTAGATAACGGATCTTAAGGTAAGCAAGATAGTTCACAATTTGAAGGAATTTATTGCTCATATTGTGAGCAGTCCTAAGAGAAAGAATTTGGAGGTGAAGGCTGATGAGAAGCTCAACATGAGCTGGCAATGTGTGCTTGGAGCCAGAAAGCCACACATGTCCTGGGCTGCATCAAAAGCAGTGTGGCCAGCAGGACAACGGAGGGGATTCTGCCCTACCCTTCCATCCTTGGTATGAGGTGTTAACCTCATCTGGAGTCCTGCATCCAGTTCTGGGGTTCCCAGCATGAGAAGGACATGGACCTGTTGCAGTGAGTCCAGAGTGGAGCCACCAAGATGATCAGAGGGCTGGAGCCCATCTTCTATAAAGACAGACTGAAAGAGCTGGGGTTTTACACCCTGGAGGAGGGTCTGGGAAGATCTTAGAGAACCTTCCAGTACCTTAAAGGGGCCCCCAAAAAGCTGGAGAGGGAATTTTTACAAGGACATGTGACAGGTCAAGGGTGAATGGCATATTAAGAAGTTGGTAAGACTCGAGTTGCCCAGAGAAGTTGCGGATGCCCCATCCCAGGAAATCCCCAGGGTCTGGTTGGATGGGGCTTTGAGCAAACCTGATCTAATGGGAGGAATCCCTGCCCATGGTGGGGAGTTTGGAACTACATGATGTTTAAGGTCCCTTCCAACCCAAAGCATTCTGTGTTTCTAAGGTTGGGGTAGCTCTAAGTAAATGTAGAGGAACACATCTCAGTGTATTAGTCTTATGTAATTTAGAAAAATAACTATTTTATTCTACCAACTACAAAGAGAAGTAATAATAAAAATTACTTTATATTTGGATTGTTCAGTGTTGAAAACCTTTAGTTAGAGCAGATGAATCTCATTGAAGTATCTGGGAAGTTTGTCTGTTGCTGAGCAAGGATTCCCAGAACTGTAATT